TATTTGTATAAGGTGTTTTAGCTTTGTTCTTGTTTTTATGTTACAGATCACATATACGTGAAATCAGTGGAAAGTTATTCCCTTCATCAGGTCCACAGTTACTCAAGGACAATGCAGCAAGAGAGCATATCCACCAGTCAGGTGAACAGAAACTTGAAACCTCAAGTGAATGCAAATTTTCTGAGTGGCTTAATACAGAAAATTCTGAGAGAACAGGTTTACTTTTTCACAACGACAATTCTGCTTCTGGAAAGAGAATGAACAGTAATGAAATAGTCTCACCATCATTGTGGTCTTCACACATGAGACCTGTTGGGTTAAAGCCAGAAACTGCTCCCCTCATCCAGCAGCAAACTACGATGGAACAATGTTGCTCTGAGAACTCTCTATCCAGGGAACATACAGTTCACTCAACCTGCAGACCTGATGGTTGTCAGATGCCAAAACTTGTTAGCCATAATCCACCGCCTCCTTTGCCACCAAAGAAATATGCTATAACCAGTGTGCCACAGTCAGAGAAAAATGAATCCACACCTAATGTCAAGCTTACAGAGATGTTTAAAGCTAATTCTTCTAGTCTTCCAAAGCACAGTTTAAGTCTGGATTCAGAACCAGGTTCAGAAGAGGGTACATATATGAATGATGAAAGACTTAGGGAAGCACTTCAAGTAAAAGAGCCTGTTGGCAACACACCAAACTACCTGTCCAGCTTTTCAACTAAAGATTTTCAGGCAGACTTGGCTACGGTTGTTGATGCATTTTGCCAACCAGAAATAGACTCTAGTTCTACCTGTCCAAATGAGACCATTTCATTAACTACCTACTTCTCAGTTGATAGCTGCATGACAGATACATACAGACTGAAATACCATCAGAGACCCAAGCTCTGTGTTCCAGAGAGCAGTGGCTTTTGTAATGATGATGTACTATCTAAGAGTGAAAGAAGGATAGCACCTGTGTTACACAACAGTCTTGGTTCAAACTGTCCTTCTGAGCAGAGATACAAACCTAGTATACATTGTAATAGATGAGCGATGAAAATGGTAAGCTGATACTTTTCAGAGGCCATGAAAATATAATAGGAATTGACTGACCCAACCTGGTGATACATGAAACTAAAACTGTGGCATTTTTAAAGTTTTAATTACTTTAACTTTCTATATATATTGTTTTGTGATGATCAACTTATTGGAGATTTTAGAAATTCCCTTTGAATAGTCTTGGTTTGCCTGCAAAATAGAAAATCCAGAGGGTATGCAAGAAGTCACTGCTGTAGTTGAATAAAACTGTAATTTGTTCCTTTATGTGTGGCTAGCAGACCCATAAGTATTAAACTAACCAATACTCACGTATGTAGATTGATAAACTATGCTAATTGAAAAATACCAGTCAATACAAGTTTGTGTAGTCAAACCAGTATTTGCTTTATGAAGAAGCACTTTCTAATGGGTAACCAACCAAAAGAGGGCTTCACCCATTTGTTTTTGACTTCTGTGATAGTCTACTACATATGATCCCTTTAAGTGTCTTAGAATTATCAACCCATGAAATTGATAGCATTTGGGGAAGAAAACAAAAGCCTTAATAATAAAACAGTTTTTAAATTAAATTAGGGTCAGAATAGAAGAAACTCAATTTTGTCCCTAGAACTTTTATCTTCAGAATGCCTGGTTAACATAAATTAGGCCTTTGACTGTCATATGTATGGATAAGCTTACTTCAGACACGTAAGCTAAAAATAAGTGAAATTCTTAACACTAGTATATTTATGTTACATTTTTTCTAATTTTATATGAAATGTGAAAAGTTTTATTTTGGTTTGGTTCACTTTGGGCTGCTAATAACCAGTGTTAGGAATTAACTTAGGGCCTTCAGGGGGATCTCACTGTGACTGCCTAAATTTTCCCTGCTATCATCTTACCTCTTTATAGATTGTCAACCCATTTTAGTGATACTCAGATTCTTGAGACTACAAATATGTTTCCAGATTCAATTTCTACTTTCATATAGAGGGTTTAATTTTAATGAAATATATTAATTTGAGCATACTTCCCATTTTTCTACTCTAAACAAAAAGTCCTTTCACCCTTTCATGGAGAGGGCTTTTTTTTTTTTAAATGAAATTTCCATTATCATGATGACCTTATAAATGAAATTAAGTTATATTAGTTGCCTTTTTTCATTAGTTGTCATTTTATTTTGTATTAAGTTGGTAAACTAGATATGGCTAAGTTTTGTATTGCACTTAAAAAAATGGAAAATTACAGAATTAAAAATTTGTTTACATTAATAAACTTCATACATATAACTCAACTCTATAAATTAGTAAATTTGATATTTTTACCAACTTGATACATTGTTAAAATATTCTAAAATGTAAATCATTTAAAATTAGTATTCCTAAGTAAAATAATTTACTTAAATAAGTAAAATAATTGCTTGTAAAAACCTAATCTCACCCAGTTATGAAATCTTGGTCAATTATTGTCTTCCACCTAGAGAAGCTTTTACTAGCCTTTTCTAACTGTAACAGTAGGTAATTATCACTTTATATTCTCTTAATTTAGAAATACTTGAATATGAACTATATTAAACTATCTTTTAAGAAAGCTCATTTTTAACATAACTTTTAGTATGGAAGGTTTGTAAATACTGTAAAATTTTTAAAATTGTATTTGAAATATCAGTGTATTTAATGACTGCTTTTATAACATTGTAAAATACTAGAAAATGGGTTCAAGTATTTTTAACAACTTTCTGTGTAACTTTTTAAAAATTTCTATTTGGTCAAGATGTCCAGTTAAAAATGTATTATTTGAAACATATAAACTAATTTCTTATATTTAACAGCAGTCTCAATAGATTTGTATTTTCAACTCATGGGTGAGTTGTAACATCAAATAGATCTAATTTAAGTACTATCCAGTCGTAACCACCCAAATCATGTAAGAGTACTAACAGACTAGAAACTGTTTTTGTAGATTCAACACTCCAAATATAGATTTGAATGCATAATTACTAACTAATCATTCACATGTAAAATTTTTATTCCTAGGATACCTAATTTTTATAGCTGTTTTCTTCTGATTATAAAATTATGGTAACTTCTGAAATAATGCAACCAATAATTGTTGTAATGTTTAAAATACTTGTCTTCTATTTTTCTGTGAAATCAGTTTCTTCTGGTTCAGAATTTCTTTTTTAAGATAAACTGATTTTTAAGTTAACATGGTTGGACTTCTCTGTGCATTCATGAACTGTGACTTCTCCCCACGTCAGTTACGCATTTTATGAGAAATTAAGTCGACTTAAAGTTCAAGGGTGCTTGGGAGTATCACTAATCATAAAATGTTATCACTCACTAAAGGCTCCTAAGTACATAATTGTCATGAGGTCCAAAGCAGGGCTCCTTTGGGAGTTGGCAAACTTTTATAGAGCCAGATAGTAAAAAATCTGGTCTTGGTGGACCATACGGTCTTTGTAACAAACAACTACTCAATTCTGCCACTATAATGAATGAAGCCATAAACGGTATGCAAAAGAATGGCATATTTGCTTTCCAATAAAACTTTACTGACGTTGAAATTTGGATTTCAGGCAGCCCAGGTGGCTCAGCGGTTTAGCACTGCCTTCAGCCCAGGGCCTGATCCTGGAGACCCGGGATTGAGTCCCACGGCGGGCTCCCTGCATGGAGCCTCCTCCCTCTGCCTGTGTCTCTGCCTCCCTCTCTCTCTCTCTCTCTGTCTCTCATGAATGAATGAATGAATGAATGAATGAATAAATAAATAAATTAAATAAATAAATAATAAATAAACTTAAAAAATTTGGATTTCATACAATTTTCATCACATGGCATCAAATAGTCTTTTTTTTTCAACTACTTTAAAATGTAAAAATCATCCTTAGCCCATGGGCCTGATCAAAAGAGATAGTGGGCTATATTTGGCCCATTGGCCATAGTTTGATGACTCTTATCCTAGAACGTAATTTACAATAAATAACCTTTTTAAAAAAAAAAAAGATTTTATTTATTTATTCATGAGAGACACAAAAAGGCAGAAACACAGGCAGAGGGAGAAGCAGGGTCCATGCAGGGAGCCTGATGTGGGACTTGATCCCAGGTCTCCAGGATCACAACCTGGCCCAAAGACGGCGCTAACCACTGAGCCACCCGGGCTGCCCTACAATAAGTAACCTTAATGACCTTAAATAAAATATCCTGTAGTCTCTGAATGTATTCCCATGCCATTTAGGGACTAGATATGTGGAGAGGTTTCTATTCTAAACTTTCAGATTAACAGACTCCTGAAAACTTCATCACAATTACTAGTCAGCCAGTTCATTTCAAATGGTTATTAAAATAATCATTTCGGGATGCCTGGGTGACTCAGCGGTTGAGCACCTGCCTTTGGCTCAGGGCAGGAGCCAACATCAGGCTCCCCACAGGGAACCTGCTTCTCCCTCTGCCTGTGTCTCTGTCTCTTTGTGTCTCTCATGAATAAATAAATAAAATCTTTTTAAAAAAATCATTTCATTTATATGAAATTAAGTTTTTGAAATTTACAACAGAATTTATCAGATTAAAATCACACTTCTGTTATTCTTTATTTTTGTCATAGCAAGTTTGCCAACTTTTCTTGGTGTCCCTCACCCTTTGACCCAGTGGCCTTTTACCCATTTAGCCTTCAAGTGTGGTTTCTATAAGCAGTCACTACTTGAGATGGCACAGGTGATAGGTATGATTTCTTATTCATCAGCTGTAGAAAAGATTCAACCCTTATACTGGCATCATTTATAGTTATGTCATAACACTAAGATCATTTTCAGAATATTTAATATTTAGTGGTGGTGGTGGGCTGATTTTAGGCTCAGAAAGGTAGTACAGACTATAAATCTTTGTGTGTAACCAACATTAAGCTACATGAGAACTGCTGATCCTTTCACAACCCTGCTACCTACCAAGTAGTTTAAACAAGTGCAAAATCCAAATGAGACCAAAGTTAGCTAGGCAATAAACATTTATTGGACAAAATTATTAGCAATCAGCAGAAAAAGTTTGCACTGTTTGGTATACTCAATGTAATTTCAGTTTTGTGTTTCTTTAGGTGCTTCAATTTTTGCATAAAAGGTTCACTCCAGACAGATGCAACAATACCCCATAGGCATTACTGTTACCTTGTAGTGGGCAATAGGCAATTAAAATCTACCAAAATCAGTCCCACATTTCACTGTAAATGCTATTCTAAGAGGGAAAGGATATAAAGTTTACCAGATCTATGCCCTGTTTCTAAGGGAGGGGAATGTCTTCAAAATATTTAGGCAATTCACATGTATCAAATGTCACCAATTTCAAAAAGAGCCCATTTCTAACATCTGTTACTTAAAGGAGTATCTGTTATGTAATAGGAATAGCTTCTGACGGCTTTTAGTAGCTGCTTTGGGAGTGTTAACTTTCTGATTAAACACTAGTTGATCACTCCTAGAATGTAAATTCTTACTAACATTTAGATAAAGAATGTAAGCTCCATAAAGGCAAGGATTTTTGTCTTTTTTGCTCAGTACTGTACCTGGCCCAGAGTAAGTGCTCAAATATTTGTTGAAATGACTCTGCTGAAGTATTTAAGGTATATAACCATTATATAAAAAAACACATTTTGGCCACAAGCATTCTTAATGCAATCACAATAAATAGGTTTCAGACATATTCTTATTTTAGGGGAGTTCAAGAACTGAAAAGAAAACAAAGGTAAGAGGACATGCACACTAGATTTCCCATGTTGGATATTTGGATATTATATTTATATACTTTCTCTGAGATTATTAACAATCTGGCAGCCATCACAGAGGCCCACTTAATCTAACAAACTGGTACTTACGGTTAGGACATTGTGGGCCTATATTTTCTGTATAGCTCTTAACTCCCTTTTCTCAAAATCCTTCCCTTTTGAGTAATTTGTTTTTAAATATTTCACTTTAATATTTTACATTTTTGTATTATACTAATCTGGCTAATCCTTAAAATGTTAAAGGCAAGACATTACTATATTTCTTAATGAATACACTAAACCTTTACATAGAAATGTTTTAATATTCAGCCCCTGTAAAGCCATCAGATTTTGAAAAGTTTTTAAACATGAATCAGAGTCTAGTTTTAAGAATTTAGCTGTGAATGGGTGAGATCATTACCCATTTAATATAGTCCCCAAAAGGAATAATAAGAGTTTGTAAAATGAAAGAAAAGTCCCTCAGTTTGAGATTCTGTTGCACAATCCTGTCTTCTTTGTTCAAGAGGTTTGTAGTCATTCTCAGAATCCACTCCAGGAACCAACTTCTTAATCTAGACATCAGGCAAACCATTCTGTAAAAACCAAATATTTGTCAACAATGTCTCCTCATTTTAATACTTTACCCCAATATCTGAAAATCCAGGTTGTCTCAGTCATTTACCTATTCCTAAATGATTTATATGTTGATAAGAGAGAGAGAGAGAAAGCCTGGAGTATACCTCCTAAGGCTTCCATTTTCTACCCAAAACTTAAAACTTGTGTCATTTAAAAAAAGAAAAAGGAAAGAAAACATATTTGAGATATCAGTCTTTAGCAAAAAAAAGGCGAAGCAGAGGAGAGTGGAGACTCTAATGGTTGGGCAGAGGGTTTTATAGAAATCCCCATCTCTTCCATTCACCCACTCAACCTTCTGCCTTCCAATCTGTCACACTAGCCAAGAGACCAGCAACAATGGGGCCTTAGATACAATGAGTTTAGGCCCAAATCTTTGCCAAAATTTTGGAGGTGGGGAAGGAAGATACAATTGCCTATCAAGGATTACAAATTCTTAAGCATAATGATGGAGAAAAGTTAACTTATGGTTAAGCAAACAACCCTGGAGTCCAAGCGAGCTCCCTAATGTCCAACCAAATGAGCGGCGCTGCTTTTCCACAGGTTCTCTCTTCAGCTTCTCCTGAATTTTCCCTCATCATTTCAGTCCTGTCTCCCTCTTCTTGTTCTGCTCCCCTGCCGTTTCTTTATCCTTCCTTCCCTTACCCTTTCCAAAACTGTCTTTTCAGAGTGAGTTAACATTTACCGAAATGGGGACCCTGAAAAATAACGTCTTAGTAAGACGTTATTAAGCGTTCATATCTGGACCTGTTTGAGATCTCTACCTGGCCTACGGGACGTCAAACTGTGTAGTACAGCCACCAACACCTTTCGTTGAGCGCTTACTGCTGCCAGGCAAACATGCACATCGCTTTTGGATCAAGTACTATGTCATTTAATCCTCACTACACCCCTATGACCTGGTTACTACCGGTCCCAAGTGGTAAATGGGAAAAATGAAGCTCAGAAAAGCTAAATAGTATCTCTAATTTTGCGGTACTAGAGGAACTCAAACCCAGCTGGTTTCTTTTTTTTTTTTTTTCTTTTGTAAGATTTTATTTTTTTAAGAGAGAGCACAAGTGGAAGGGAGGGGCAGAGGGAGAGGGAGCAGCCGGCTCCCCGCTCCGCAGGGAGTCTGTCGCGGATCCCAGGCCCTGGGGATCATGACCTGAGCTACCCAGGTGCCCCCAACTCCAGGTGGTTTCATTCCAAAACATAAGAAGAAGAAATTATGAAGCCAAGTTCCTTCCACACCTCTTTGAAGACCCTAAGGTGCCCAGGAAGAACACTTTACTTCCAGTCTCATCCCGACCCCCAGCACCCCCAGTCGACTCTGCCACTTGGCCAGCTGACTTATTATTTTGGGCATACCCTGTTCTCTGGAATTCAGTTACCTGGCCTACGCCCACACTGTAGTGGCTGGCTCCCTACCCGTTCAACTCCGCATTCAGAGTACTCACTACGGTAAAAGATACACGAAGATGAACAACACCACGTCGAAGAGGATGAAGAGCCACAGATCCAGCCAGTAGGAATGTTTCGGAAACCGGTCGGCTGTGGATTGAGGCCGCACTTCGTGGTTCTGCTGCTGCCTCCCAGCTTCGCCCAAGCGTAGCCGCTCCCGGGGGCCGTCCCGACCATCTTCTGCTGCCGCGCCCGCCTCCATCACCCACCAGTCGTCGTCCCGCCGCAGCCAGAAATCCCTCAGGTCCCGCACTTCCGGGTTCGCCTTGCCCTCAAACGGCCACAGCGTGCCGCCTACGCATGCGCGCTCCCCTCCCCGGAAACGGGCCTGGTCCCCTCTCCTTCCGGCGCGCAGGCGCCTTCCGGCGCTTTGCTGTCTCCGTGACGGTCGGCAGGCAGCTCGGCAGGCAGCTCGGCCTCCTCCCGGCCGCGGCGTGCGCGGGGCCGCCCCCTCGGCTCTGCTGCGCCCTGAGGGAAAGCTGGTTAGACAGGTTTCACTGGAAGAAAAGGAAGTCACCCTCAAGTCCCGCGGACGTCAGGTGCTGGATCCCACCCAGGAACTGCCCACGGTCACCTTTCCTTATCCCTGTATTTCTTTCGGGTCCTTATTGCCAAGGGTTTAGGGCCCCCTCTGATAGGGTTTGTGTTGTGTATATGGCACGTTACACCTATTTATTCCTGAAGCAGTTATAATGAGGTGGACGTCGTAACTAAGAGCCGGGGCTTCTAAGGAGGCCCGAGAGCAAATCCTGAGACTGTGGCATGTACCTCATGGGAGTGAATTTAAGGGTAACCCCAAGGTTTTGGGAATGTGACCCCCTATGAGATTAGAGTGCTAGCAGAAAGAAAATGGCCATTGTAAGTGAGGAAAAATTCCCCTCTACCTACCTTCTTTGGGTCTCCAGCAGGGCCTAGGCATTAAACTGACATAAGATGAGACTTCAGGGGAAAAGCACTCAAGGTCTATTAATTTTTGGTTTTTATGTGCACATGAGAACCTTCACAAGAGAATGAAGATAAAAGAAGTGACCAGAACAGAAAGCTTTACTCCTTTTAGATAAAGAGTCAAACCAGGTAAAGGGGTTTGGGTCAGGGGTGGTAAATTGTGAAGAATGACAGGGAGATAAGCATTAGGGTACCAAGGTTTGTTTGTACAGATTTCTCAGCCTGATTCCCCATCTCTGGTGATAAGAATGTTTTTCTTCCTCCTCATAGAGGGAAGGCACCTTTCACATGGGAGTTTGATCTCCTGTCGGGAAGAATTGAGGAAGGTCGGAGTGGCCCTCTTGCACCTGCTGTTTCTCAGGCTCCTTTAACTTAATCAATATGCCAAAGCAGTGTATTTTGGGGTGACACACTCTGAACTCCTTCATTTCCTCTGTCTGAAAGTTCCTTAGAAGTTTTACATGAAAGCTGAATTGGTGGCTGTGGAGAAAAAAAAAAAAAAAGAATTAAGTTAGCAGCCAAGTGGCAATGGATCTATCTGCAAAGGGAAAGAATAGGTTAGGATAAGAATACATAGGAAATAAGTCGAAGCACATTTCCTCATATCCTGTTAAATCAGCCTCCTATCCCTAGAAATAGGTCAGCCCAACAGAATGGCTGAACCTCATTTATCTGATGGAGAGTGTTTATCTGGTCTTTCAAAAGGTGCAGGTTAAACACTATTTGTTTCAAGCAATTTACATAGAAGTAGCATTCTTCACCAGTGATTGCCTGAACTCCTCCTTTGGGGCTGTCAGTGTGTCTAGGGAGAGGTAACTTTGGAGTATAACAGAAAGCCTAAACTATTAACTGATGATAGAAGGGCTTCCAATGTGTGTGTAATGATACTGAAATCCTGTTATATTTCTGTGGAAAGATTTAGAACTGCCTTTTCCAACTCAAAAGTTTGAAAGCCTGGGAAAAGGGAGCCCAATATTGAAAAAGAACTTAGAATTGTGATGCACAAGCCAGTTTTCTGTTACATCTTGTTTAGTGTATTCATGTGGCACTACTTTAAGACCAAAGGACCCGAAGTTTGTAATTGGGCTGGCAGTTAAGGTGGAGTACCAGGACAGAGAGTATCAGGAATCTGAGTCCGCATCATCCTGACCATCTAGGTGGAACTCTTTGTATACCTTATCATCACATAAGATAAAAAGACCAGTACCGGGATGCCTGGGTGGCCCAGCGGTTTAGCGCCGCCTTCAGCCCAGGGTGTGATCCTGGGGTCCTGGGGTCCCAGGATCCAGCCCCACATCCAGCTCCCTGCATGGAACCTGCTTTCTCCCTCTACCTGTGTCTCTGCCTCTCTCTCTCTCTCTCTCTCTCTCTCTCTCTCTGTGTGTGTGTCTCTCATGAGTAAATAAATAAAATCTTAAAAAAAAAAAAAAAGACCAGTACCATTCATGGATGAGATCAGAATGAAACTTTTGACCTACTAAGTTGGGGTCTGATGTATCCTGTCACTTGCCTTATTGGCATCTGCACATCTCCATCTTCTGTGTATTCCTGTCAGTCTCTAGAAGAACAGGTTGTGAAATAATCGGATATAGGAGGCCTGCAATTAGGCCTCAGCAGCAATAAGGCATGGTTTTGTTATATGATTAGGTTAGCGCAAATTTTTGGTTTCCCCATATGTGATCTTTGGCCTTTGGCAACTCAGCTGCTCCCAGGTTACACTGGGAACCTGCTGTAAAATCTGGTGGTTTGGTAAGTGTCTGTACCATAAGAGTCAGTAATGAAATGATTTCTGACCTTCATGAGAAGCTTGAGAATGCCACCTGTGGAATCAGACCAAAAAGTTTGATTGTAGTATTGACTTGATATGTCATGTGGGAAAAGTCCAGTACCATCGAGATTTTCAATAAAAAGGAAAAAAACTCCCTTCTAATGTCTTTGAGCAAAGGACAGTCCTTGAGCTTCCATAGAGGTTTTTCCGTGTACAATTGACTCACCAAAAACTGAAGAATGATGTGTATTTTTGGTCATGGATGCCATACCCTGTCATATATCCATTTTCCCAAATTGGTCCACCAGTTGGTCATATTCGCAGGAATAAAAATTAATTTCAGGTTCTTTTGCAAGATCTAGATGTTGGCATAACCAACAATCAGATTGATTAGTTAATGTGGCCAGGGTTTGGAAAAGTGATTTAATGGGGTGTCAGTTCTGCATAACCTGCTGAGAAAACAAGAGTTAAGTGAGACACAGTTTGAAAGTCCATAGCAGAGGATCAGAGGGAGAGTAGGATAGATTGAGACAAGCAATCTCCTCGAAGATTTTATTTTTAAGTAATCTCTGTACAAACTCACAACCTGGAGATCAGGAGTCCCATATACTCCACCAACTGAGCCAGCCAGGCACCCCTCCAATCACCCTTTTAATAAGTGGCTAAAGAAAGGGGAGGCTTTGTTAAAAGGAAGATTTTTTTTCCCTCTTTCTTAGTTCCCACTGGGAGTAGGGAGACCCAGTGGGGGAGAAAATAGGTGGAAGTGAAGGTTCTTGATCTGTGATCTTGGGAAAAGCTATCTATCTCATGATGTTGTCTGCTTCTGGGACTTGGGAATTTGCCTGGGAAATCTTTACTTTAAGGTCATCTTAGGAATGGTCTTCTATTTGTCCTGGGAGTGCTGATCATGGTGTATATGTTGGCAAGACTTGTGTAATTCCAGGAGGATTTTCCCTTTATTTTGATAGCAGTGTGAGTGGTTAGCAGTACTTCATAAAAGTCTTCTCAGTGAGGTGATAATATGTGCTTTCCTCTAATGGCAAAGCTTCGCATTTACCATTTTTACTTGTTGATGATATGCTCCATTTATACTAGTTAGGTCTTGTATATATCTAGTCATAGTGACGTGAAGAAATGTAGATAAAATTAAATCTCCTTGCAACTTGCAGTCTGTTGACAAATACTTGGGGCGGGCAAGAGTATGACCTTCCTCAAGAGACTCACAACTGCCATAATGTTAATGCTTTGCTAGAGGCAAAAAGCAATCTTAACTTGACATTTGTCCAACCTCCAAGATCCTGTAAGTCTTCTTTAACATATGAAAATACTTTTGGAAACTTCCTTTGTCTCTGCCCCTCCCAACTTAAAGTATATAATCAGTCGCTACTCACAATCACATTGCAGCTCTTATTTGCCCATGGTTCCTGTCACCTGCTATAGTAAAAACAACTTCTTTGCACTGTCACAAGAATTCTTTTTTGACCGTTCACTCCCAGCCCACATCACATCAGTAGCATCAGATTTTTCACTTACACTCCAATAATGTTTACTTAATCCAGGAATAGAAAATTTAGAGATGCCAATAGGAATAGAGTGACCAAACATTATTTCAATTATTTCAATAATTATTTCATTATTTCAAACATTATTTCCTAATCCAGGAATAGAAAATTTAGAGATGCCAATAGGAATAGAGTGACCAAACATTATTTCAAAAGATGTTAATCTATGTTTTCTATTTGGAGTATTCCAAATATTTATAAGGACCAGAGGTAATGCTCCTGGCCATTAAATCCAGTTTCTTGACAGGTTTTTCCTATAGTCCTTTTGATATCTGGATTTATATGTTTTGTTTGTCCTAAGAATTAGGGATGGTACAGAAAATGAAATTTTAATGAGTACCCCTAAGTTTTTATGAGCAAGTGGTTAATTTCTGCTGTAAAATATGTTCCTTCTCTGACCCAACCCATAAAGGAATGCCAAAACAAGGAATACTCCCAGTTATTAATTCTTCACCACTGTTGTAGCATTGGTACTTCTGGTTGGATAACATTCAGTCCCCCCTACTAAATATACAGACAGTAACCAAATAGTGGGAATAGCTTGACACTGGAAATAAATCTATGGAATCCATTTTGGGGTCCCACAAAGGGCAATGTGGGCCTTAGAGGATTTCCTGAGGTATGTTTGTTTCCTCCAGAAATTTGGTGAGATTTATAAGTAGTCCATTGGGAAATAACTTGATCAGAAATTTTGTAGATGCCAGAGAAGAAAAAATTATCTTTTAGCTCCTTAACTATCTCCCATCGTACCCATATGATGGGATATCCCATCAGATGGGAGATAAGTACAAGCTGAAGGGTGAAAAGAAAGGGGGCCTCAGGAAGTCTCTTTGACCCAATATATAATCTCTAATCACTTGGCACCCTTTTGTATTCATTTGTCTTTTTTCAAGATTGTGGGATATTTGCCTGAATAGTTAATAATATCAGTCAGAGATAAAGGCAGATTTATAAATTAAGTGGAAAAGGAAAGGGGCTCTATTTTCAACTGCATATTAGCAGCCGTGTCAGCCGTATTATTCCCTAGAGATACAGTAGCTGTCACCTTAGTATGGCTACATAGTAAACAGTAACGATTTTAGCTGCAGTGAATAGCTTGTATATAGCAGCAGATACGCCCATTGGCAAAATGAACCAGCAGAGGTTAAGAATCCTCAGGATTTCCAGATTGTGCCAAAAGCCTGAAGGACTCCAAAAGCATGTCTAGAATTGCTGTAAACTGTGCCAGTTTTTCGTTTTGCCAGTGTTCAGGCTCTGGTGAGAGCTATACGGTTAGCAGCTTGGGCTGACTATCGTGGGGCAGAGAGTGTGCCCAGGTGTTTTATGTAGAGAAACTATGGTATGACCAGTTATTAAGTTTCTCCCAGAAATCTCCTCTGTAGGAACTATCACAAAATAGAACTTAAGTCTGGGGGCACCTGCATAGCTCAGCGGTTGAGCGTCTGCCTTTGGCTCAGGGTATGATGCCGGATTCCCGGATTGAGTCCTGCATCGGGTTCCTTGCATGGAGCCTGTTTCTCCTCCCTCTGCCTATGTCTCTGCCCCCCTCTCTCTCAGGGTCTCTCAAAAATAAATAAATAAAATTTTTTTAAAAAAAGAACTTAAGTCTGGGTTGTGTAAAGGCAGTATCTAAGAGATGCTCTCATTGCTTTGAGAGAG